CACTAAGCCATCTGGGCTCCTTGAGAGTCAAAATAGAGTCCCATAAGAACAAACAAAAAACCCAAACTCTCTACCCTAGAGTTGATTCCTACGCACACCGAAGCTGTAGGCCAAAGTAAACGGCTCCTTGGGGTTTCTGAGATCTTACATCTTTATGGGAGCAGAAATACAATGAGGGTACCCACCCCCAAATAAAACCTGGATTTTTTTCAAGCTATGTATTTAATTTAAAAAAATTTTTTTCTCCAAAGTACTCTCCATTACACTTAATACATTTGTCAAATCTGTGACTCCATTCTTGGAAACATTTTTCAAACTCATTTGTTTGGATGGCTGACAGCACCTACCTCATTTTTTTCTTCACCTCTTCTACGTCGTCAAATCACTGTCCTTTCTTGTCCCCCTGCATTTGCGGAAACAAAAGAAAGTCACACAGAGCAAGGTCAGGTGAGTAAAGTGTGGGGGGCAAGAGAGGCATGCTGTTTTTTGCCAAACACTAGCTCACTGAGATGTCTGGGTGAGCAGGGGCATTGTGTGGGCAAAGCCACTCCCCCATCTACCACAAATCAGGCCTTTTTCTATTTTTTGTCGCATGCTGTTACACAATCTTTTCAGGACCTCTAAATAGAAAGCTTGATTAACAGTCTGACCTGGTGGAATGAACTCCAAATGCACTACTTGTCAACATTTTCATTCATTCAGGAAGTTGATGGACATCCAGAACGAGGTTTGTCATAAATTGACATTTCACCCTTGCTTGAAATGAGAAAACCACTCGTACACTTGAGTTTTTCCCATAGTGCTCTCCTTGTAAGCTGTATTCAACATCAGAACAGTTTCTGTGGCATTTTTCCCAAGCAGGAAACAAAATTTCACAGTCACCCACAGTCTCTTAAATCGGCCATCACAAAAAACAAAGTTCAAGCAAAACTGCTTTTATAAAAAAATTCACTTGGACCAGAGAGAACCTTCCCAGGCGATACCACTGGGTGCACTCAGAGCAAGTTGCTCGATGCTCACCTAGCAGGAAAAATAGATAGTAATTACTACAAAAGCTCAACCCAGCAGAGCTTTTTTCCGTTTGGGGGGGGATACCCTCTTGTAGCCTCAGCTTTCATTGTGCCAGAGCCAATGGAGGTTTGAACTGTACAACTTCATGGCTCCTTTAAGATGCCCGTAGGAGGAATGTGAAGGCTATGACTGCAGTGTCCTGGTGTGCAGGGTTTGGAAGGTTGGTTTCCTGTCAGATTCAACAACAGGGGTTGAGGTTCTCGGATGCCAGAGGACAAGAGAGGCTGTAAGTATAGATATAAGATGTTCTCCAAGCTTGAGGGAAGTCACCTTGCTCTTTCTTGTCTCCTCCTGCAACCTTAGGCCCGGCCCTCCACACCCCTACCTCCTCCCTGGATTCTGCTGCCATCACACTACAGCCCATGGAGATCCGCACCTTCTTGGCCTCCATCAAATGGAAGCGGTCTCAACATTACTTGGCTTCCCCCATCGTAGCTGGAGCACCCCGTATCACAGACTGGGTGAACCACTGCCTCTCCATCCTCCTGTTGGTGTGGTAAACCAGAGCCATTAAAATCCCATCCACAAGCAAAAGGTGGAGGAATGACTGTGAGTCTGCTTCTTCCTTGTGGTGCCAATGTACAAACTAGAACTCTTCTGCTGATGAGAGATCTCTCGACGTAGGAGTCAGTGAGACACTGGCTGGAATCCTGACACAGACCCACGCTCACTCCCATTCCCAATCAGGTTCTTGCCACCCTTGTCCCCTCATCTGCTTCTTTCTCCTTCATCCACTCAGGCCAGGCAAAGCTACCCTGAGAAGCTGCACAAGGTGGCTTATAGAGCTGATCCTGCTTGGTCTTGGTCCAGTTAGGCCAAGATAAGGAGGGCTCAGGATTCAAATGCCACCGGGAAGCCTAAAGGAACAGATTGCATTTGACATGAGTCCAAGAGCAAAGCTTCGTCAAGGTCGGATGAAGGTGATGGAAAGAAGCACGCAATGGCCTTAGTCTTGGGGTAAGAGCCGGGGTTGGCCTGGAGGCAGGAGACTACTAGTTAATCCCAGGTTTTGCAATTCAAAGAACTGATCATATATGCAAGTCGATGGCCTTGGGCATCTCTTTTGAAGTATCCAGACTTCAGCAGCCTATTGTAGATAAAGGAAAATAAGGCTGTGGTTGGGCTGCTAACTGCAAGGTCAGCAGTTCAAAACCACCAGCAATTCCATGGAAGAAAGACGGGCTTTCTATCACCCGTAAAGAGTTCTATCGTCTAGGAAACACACAGGGACCGCGATAGCCTGTCCTATAGGGGCACTCTGAGTCAGAAATGACTCAATGGCAGTGAGTTTGGTTTTGGTTTTGGAAGGATTAAAGACCTTGTGCATATGCTGTCATGACAGGCCTGGCTGGCTCCTGGTCATCCTCCAAGAGGGGTCATGCAACAGGCTTGTTTTCAAACGACCCAAGATTCCTAGCTTCGCCGTGGTGATTTGGTAGGCCACCTCTTGAAAACCATTTACTACCCAATTCATGGAGATTGGACAATCCACTATGCAAGCAAGGTGCATAAAACCCTTTGGAGGACTGGAAAATTCACTATGTAAACTAGCAAACTGGCCTACATAAGGGTTTCCCCAAGTAGTGGTCCCGGTGGGTGGAGTAGACTTTGAAAAGAGGACTCAGAGATTGGGAGGGCATGCCTCACTGCCATCAGGAAGAGTCTGGGTAGAATGCTTCATTTGGATTGGGGTCCCTGCGCTTGAGAGCATCCCAGTCCCAGGAGACAGAAGGAACTGTAACATTGGAGATGGCATGAGATATTACAAAATGGCAAAAGATGACATGAGATGGTAGTAACAGTATGAATAGGACTTGGTGCCAGATATTTTTATTATTATTTTAATAAATCATTTTATTTGGGGCTCTACAGCTCTGATAACAATCCATACATCAATTGTATCAAGCACATTTTTACATATGTTGCCATCATTTTCAAAATGTTTTCTTTCTGTTTGAGCCCTTGGTATTAGCTCCTCTGTTTTCTCCTCCCTCCCCCGATGGACCCCTGATAAATTATAGATTATTATTCTTTTCATATCTTACACCAGCCACTGTCTCCGTTCACCCATGTTACTGTTACTTGTTCCCCTGGAGTGGGGGCGGTATTATACATCAGTCATCGTAGTCAGTTCCCTGTTTCTCCCCCATTTCCCCCTTCTCCCTCCACCTTCCCCCGTACTCATATGGTATCTCTACTCCCATTGCTGTTCCTGAGGGGTTTAGCTGTCCTGGATTCCATGTGTTGAGAGCTCTTATCTGAGGAAGCTTGCTGACAGAATGAAACTGCCCAGTCCTGCACCATCCGCACAATGGTTATTGTGTTCAAGCCCATTATTGCGGCCACCGTGTCAACCCATCTTCTTGAGGATCTTCCTCTTTCTCCTAACCTTCCCCTTTACCAAGTGGGTAGTTGGATGATTTTATATCAACTAGGCACTCGTGGCTCGGGGTGTGGTTGAACCTGCCAATCAAGTGGCAGCTTAATGACACCAACTTGAGGGGGTGGCCTTTTGCATCATAAGAGCGAGGGGCTCTGGGAACTGTTCTCTCTGCCCCTCCATCTTCCTGCCTGCTGGAGCTCTTCCTCCCTCAACGGGTGGCCCCGGGTGGGTCACTCAGCCCTAAGAGTGGCAGGTACTCTGGCATGTTCCCACCAATCTCAGGTCCACGTGAATCTGCACCCAAGGCCTATGATCTTCCTGCTTCCCAGTTCTCCTTTCTGCGTCCCCAGCATGTGGCTACGTGAGTTGGAAGAAGGAATAATGGACTAGCATCGGACTTACGAACTTGAGTTGGATTGAGCTGGGATGCCTTCTGGATACAATTCTTTTATATACATATTTACTAAACTCTAAAATATTAATAGTATTTCATTAATTAAAGCTTGAAAAACGTATACAACAAAAGTGATTACTAATGTTGTTATAAGGCCGTCAAAGAAGAATCTGTATCACATGGTTTAATTGTTTAAACTTAATATAAAACCCATCCTATAAATACAAAACTGAACTATTTGAATACTATCAACACCCTTTATACAAAGAAACTTAGCAGTAGTAAAATATAACTACATAAGGTGGTTATTTGGAACAAAGTTTCCCTCTTTTTTATATTGCTACAGGCACAAAAATAAATCATAAGATGGTAACTAAAACATTCTTAGTGGTTATTCTTATAATCATTCAAATTTCACCAGCCATAATGGCAATGAACTCCTCTTGATGTATTTCTCCATCACCATTTTGATCACGTTATTCTATCATAGCTCAAAGTTCATCATCACCCATGTTCTCACCCAATTCTCGCGCAACATGTCACAAATTTCTCAAGCTTATTTTCCCTGAATCATCACCATCAAATAGTTTAACTGCCTTTAATCTTTCTTCATGGGGATCTTTTTTCAATATCCAGTCTATCACAACTTCATTAAAATCTTCAAAGGTCTGGGGTCTTAAAGGCTTGAAGGTAAACAAGGGGCCATCTAGCTCAGAAGCAACAAAGCCCACATGGAAGAAGCACCTTAGCCTG